TTCCTTGACCTGGCACCCAAATCTTTCTATACATGATCCCAATATATCTTGTCTTCCAGCATGATACTAATATTCCACACAGGTTTCCTCTTTTTTCCTTCATACTGCTGAGGCTCTGGACCCTCTCTACCTATGCTGTGATTCTGCCTTCCTAGAATACCTTCCCCATCCTGATCTTACCTGCTCTCTAAGACTGGGCTCCAGTAATTCCTTCCTATTAAAGCTTTCCTAGGCAACTCCAACCCACAGTAATTTCTTTTGCTTTTTGACCACATGCTTTCTATCTACTTCTCTCCTGTTCACTAATAAATATCAACCAACAAACATTTACCTTGGGTGCGTACAGATTGATGATTATTATTTCCTTTTGGTCTATTTCCCCTTTTATTAGTATGGAATGTCCTTCTTTATCTCGTTTGATCAATGTAGGTTTGAAGTCTACTTTGTCAGAGATAAGTATTGCTACTCCTGCTTGTTTTTGGGGGCCATTGGCTTGGTAAATCTTCTTCCAGCCTTTCATCCTAAGCATATGCTTATTTCTGTTGGTGAGATGGGTCTCCTGTAAGCAACAAATTGTTGGATCTTCTTTTTTAATCCATTTTGTTTCCACTTTTTGGCTACTTTGAATTACATCCTGTAAACATCTGGCTACAAGTTTTTGTGTAGACATATTTTTAGTTCTCTGGGTATATAACTAGGAATGGAATTTTCTGGGTCATATAACTTTTTTTTTTTTGAGCTAGGTCTCCTCTGTAGACCATAGCCCAACCAACCTCTTTGACTATCTCTATATCCAAGGCTGGCCTCAATTTTCTTGTCTCAACCTCCTGAGTGTTGGGGTTATAGGTGTGTGCCATGCCCAGCTGGGGTCATATGATAGTTCTGTTTAATTTTTTTTTCTCCAAGCAAGGTCTCACTATATAGCCCTGGCTGGCCTGGAACTCTCTCTGTGGTCCATGCTGGCTTTGAATTTTCGGTTCTCCTGCCTCAGTCTAGAGTGCTGGGATTACAGGCATTTCTCACCAACTGGCTAAGTCTGTTTAAAATTTTTTCTAATCGTGGTGGGGATTGAACTCAGGGCCTTATGCATTTTTGACCACACAGGGATTTGAACTCAGGGCCTCACATTGCTAGGCAGGTGCTCTACCACTTGAACCACTCCAACAGCCCCTTTTTTTCATTAGGTACTTTTGAGATAGGGTTCCGGTTTTGTTTTTGCCCTGGGTGGCTTCAAACTGTGATCCTCCTGATCTCTGCCTCTTGAGTAGCTAGGATTACAGGCATGAGCCACCAGTGCTCTAACTTTTTGATTAACTATTGTAGAAGATGGACAAGTTGTCATTCATTGTTTAAAACTAACAATTTTAATATCATTACTGATAGGAAACTGAGAAATGTCCATATTCAAATATATGATTCAGAAATAAAGGCATTATGAAAATTGTCTATAGAATTTTTTAGAAAATTAAATAAAGTTAATTTTGTGGTACTGGGTATTAAACCTAGGGCCTTGCACATGCTAGGTAAGAGCTCTACCACTGAGGTACACTCTTAGCACCTGAATTGTTGTTTCTTGTATAAAACTATTAAATACCTTTGTACCTCCTTTCACTGGAAGCCTTTTGAGTATAACTTTAAAGCTTAGGTGAAGTGTTAGGGATTTTTCTTGTGGGTTAATGTATTGGTGTAAGTAAGCTATGTCAATTTCAAATAATGATTTGATTTGTAGTAGTGATTGCAAATATAGATACATGAGAGGGATATTTCATGTTATCTGCAGTCATGATATTTTTCCTCCGTTTGGTCTTAAGTCTGGAGATCAAATATTGAGATTTTTTTTTTTTTTTTTAGTTTGGATTGCATGTAGTTTATGTGTCCCCTTAAATTCAAGATCCAGAAAATAACAACCAAAAAAGACCCAAAGTCTTTGGTCATGTTTTTAAAAAATATTCCTTCCGTTGGTGGGATTACAAAATTATAATTCAGAAATGAATGTAAATTTAGAATATGGCATTTCCCTTCTTATTGCTTTTTTTTTCCTTCTGAGTCAGGGTCTCATTAGGTAGCCCAGGCTGACTTGGAATTTACCCTGTACCCCTGGCTAGAGTTGAACTTGTCATCCTCCTTCCACAGCCTCCATCTGCTGTGATTACAGCTCTATGCTACCACTCCTGGCTGGTTGCTTTTATTTCTAACCACTTACGTCAAGACATAATTATTGGTTCATATCTTACTTTTGATTGATTTTTGCCAAATTGCCCTTAGTGAGTTGTACCAGTTTACACTACCACTAGAGCATAAATGCTCTTGTTTGTCTGTACCCTCAAAACCTGATGTCTTACATTTTTGATGTTTGTTAATGTAAGTTAAGGATGGTATTTGAATGTAGTTTTATTTTGTAATTTTTTGAGTGAGGTTTAGCATCTTTTACCAGTTTAAACCATTATATAATTTTTCTCTAATGTGGGATTTGTCCATTTGCTTTTTATAGTCTTTACAGTTTCTTGGAACTCTTTATTAGACAATTTAGTCTTCTTTTTTTCTGTGGGACCGGGGTTTTAACACAGGACTTTATGCTCGAAAAGCAGGTATTTTTCTGTTTGAATCACACCTCTAGTCCTTTTGCTCTGGTTATTTTGGAGGTGGGGTTTTGCATATTATTTGGCTGGGCTGGCCTTGAGCCTTGATCCTCCTGATCTCAGTCTCCTGAGTAGTTAAGTTAGTATTACAGGTGTGAGCCACTGGTGCCCAATGACAAGTTAGACCTTTAATGAGTTCTTAGTTAAAAAAAATGATGTTTCAGTAGAAGTTGATTCATTTCTAATCGAATTAAAAACATTTCAGCCAGGTGTGGTGGTGCACACCTGTCATAACAGTATTTGAGAGCCTATGGATGACCTTGAGTTCAAGGTCAGCCTGAGCTACATTGGGAGACCTTGTATAAAAACCTGGAACAAAATCAAAACCCTGAAAAATCCATTTCAGTAACCATTGGGAGTTGGAGGCCAGAGTTGTATATTGGATAGCCCATCTAATTGAGTTCTTTTCCCAGTCCAATAAAACTTGGGGCCAGCATTTTTTGGAGGTGTTTGTAGAGATTAGATGTTTGCTGAATAAACATATTTCAGGTAGTCTTTGAGGGAAGGTAAACTGCTGATGAAATAGCATATTAATTCATCTTCTACATTTTCTGTTAAGACAACCAAAGCAGTGTTTTTAAATATTGTATACATTTAAATGCTATTCTAGTCTTATAAATTATAGATGTTATGATTTCTTATTTTCATATTCATTATAAAATATAAATATTACATCAGATCACAGTAAGCTTAAGTAGTTTGAGGTTTAATAATGCATACTGCTTGAATGTATTTTTATTTTACCTGAAGCTTTTAGATTTTCAAAGCCTCAATTTTCTCTGTGTATGTGTGTTCTTAGATTAGGGAGCCCAACCTTATTTCATTTCTGGGGCAGACATGGTGGCATTTATAGGCTGGAAGATGAACCACTGAATTCACTTTGTCAGCTGATACGTGAATAATTGGTAGCTTGCCTCAAGAAACATTGTGAGAAATAAAAAAAGTAAATAAAGGTAATTTAGGCAGATTTTTTGTGAAGTAATTGGAAGAAAAGCATTGTTAGGGAGACAGCTGCAATCATAAAACAAAAACAAAAGCAGGTGTTTTATTTATTTATTTATTTATTTATTTTTGCAGTGTGGGGGATCAAACCCAGGGTCTTATGTCTATTAGGCAAGTGCTCTGACACTCAGCTACATCCCCTGCCCTAAAAATAGGCACTTTAATTCCTTACCCTTTCTTTTTTTTTTCTTTTTTTGCAGTACTAGGGCTTGAACTGAGGGCCTACACCTTGAGCCGCTCCACTAAGCCCTTTTTGTGTTAGGTATTTTCCTGATAGGGTCTCGAGAACTATTGCCTGGCCTGGCTTTGAACTGTGATCTTCCTGATTGCTGCCTCCTGAGTGATGAGGATTACAGGCATGAGCCACTGGCGCCTGGCTCTTTCCTTACTTGATAAGGTCTCACTATGGAGCCCGGGCCAGCCTTGAACTACTAGTCCTCTTGCCTCAGCCTGCAGAGTGTTGGGATTACAAGTATGTTCTACCATGCCTGACCTTTCTTCTTTTCAGCTTAATACAAGGTACAGATTTTTACTTAACAGTGTGAATCTGGGCATTTTAGGTAGTTTTGATCATTTCTCTCTCAGGTTTTCTTTACATCTTTTTGTAGATTTTTAAATGATTTATTTTCTCCTAATCTGAAATATGTTCTGCCATCATTTTTTTTAAGCCAAAATTGTTGAAAGTTTGTGAGTTAATAATGCATAGGGAGAAAAATGAGAAGCTTTGTGGCATAAGTTGCTTGAAAATTGTTTTATTACATTTTCTGTTTGATCACTTATCTGTGGAGAACCCCAGAAATAATGCTTTTCATGAAAGCTGACAACTGTTTGCAGAAGTATTATTTTAATTTCTTGGTTTAGTCATATTCTTTCTTTAGTATTTGTGTTTTATGAGAATTATCTTAAGAATTTCTTTACATATAGATGTGAATCTATATGTTGATTTATTTCCTTATTTAAGTAGGCAGAAATCTATGCTTTTTTCAAGGCGTGGTGATGTTTCCAGCAGTAGTTTTGATTTCAAAATATCCCAGAGATTATTAGCGGTTAGTTTGGAGTAGGAGAAAGTGATATTTAATTTATATAAAGGATTATTTCAGTGTGAATAAAAGAAAGATAATATATCTTCAGACTCAGTATGAGGTTTTTTTTTTTCTTAACAATTCTTTTGTTTAAATGTCACCAAGCAAGTACTGTCAGTGGGCAGAGATTTATATTTTAACCTTTTTATATTCTTTGTATTATCCCATTAAACAACTTTAAAACTAGCTGTTTTGAAAATCATCTTTCATGAATTTTTGCAAGTAATATTCATACTGCTGGAAAGAAATCATACCATTTTTGCCTGCTTTTCTCTAGGGTAATTTGCTGCAGTTGTTTTTCCGATAGAAATATGCTCTTTTCCTAATAGAAGATGATAATCTTGGAGAATGACCATGGAGAAGGGGATGAGTTCTGGAGAAGGGCTGCCTTCAAAATCATCTCAGGCTTCAGCTGTTAAAATAACAGCCAAAGAATTGGAAACAAAGCAGTCCTATAAAGAGAAACGAGGGGGCTTTGTGTTGGTGCATGCAGGTAAGACCTTCATGAGTAAGTTGGAAGCTGAAAATAAAAATAATGTTGAATTTTCCTTCTCTTGCCTTGAAGTTCACTGAGAATTGTGTTTCACATCTGCTAGAGAGGAATCAAAGAAATTGTTTGACATTAATGTACTGAGGACCCTTCTACTCCCCAGTTGAAAGATCTTATAATAATAATTCTTCCTGTGTTTTCTTCACTCCTTTCCCCTGTTATTTACTTTTACTCATATAATAGGTAAATGTAAATTAGTAGTGTTAAAACTAAAGTAATTTTTAAGCTCTGGTTTATGATTTTTAGAATAATGCTGCTGAAAAGCTTCTGCTGAAACCCAGTAAAAGCTAAAAAAGATATAATTATATCTCAGAGTATAATTATACAATTTTGGAGCTAGTTCAGCTTTGAAGAGATGTTTTAAAATTTTCTCTTTTCCCTCTAAAGATTCAATGATTCTCTCTATGGAATGAACTGACAATAGATTACAGGAGAAAACACATAACAAATTTATTAACATGCAGATATGCACTAGAGCCATACACAAATTTTGAAACCCAGAGGGTCAGATGTTTGAAGCCTCAATAGCATTTTGAGCTCCAGAAATAGAGGCTTAAAACTCCTAGAAGAAGGCAGAGACAGGTTATGAGAGGGTGAGGCTAAGAAATATCTTTTGAACAAATGTCTTATGCAAAGAAAGTCTCTTAAGTAATGGTCATCAGAAGACTGTATATGACATCCTGTGGCAGTCTCTGCACAGGAATGTTTTGATAAGATCCCTTCTAGATCCAGGTAAGGTAGATGGATACCAGGGCTTCAGAGGAAGCTTGCTTACTTCAGTAATATAGATGTCCTCTATAGACACAGATCTTGGTCTACTTCCCTCTATTCCTGTGTCTGTAGTCCCTCTGAATTGTCATCTTGAAATGTGCTAAAGAAGTAGATTTTGGGGTGCAATGTTTTACTCTGTTGTATCTTCTTAATACTATAAACAAGGGACTCCCTGCTGGAGTCAGTCTTCTTCAGGGTAGACCTCTGTGGGGCTTTGTCTGGGAGGATCAGGTAGTTCAGTACTATGTTTAAGAACTTCAATTAGAGGGTTAGTCATGAAGAGAGGTTAAGGGCTCTTATCTTTGTTTCTTTCTTGTTTAGATTATCCTCAAATCACTAAGGAGGGATGAGTCCTTTTAGACAATTTTTTTTTATTGTTGTGGTAGGGGTACATTGTGGCATTTACAGAAGTTTTTACAATGTATCAAATATATCATAGTTGAATTCACCCCCTCCATCATTCTTTATCCTGCCTCCCCCCATTCCTGAATAGTTTCAGCAGGTCTCATTTTTCCATTTACATGCATATGTACAAAGTATTTAGGCAAACAAATTTATTCAGAGTCATTCTTTTGAGTAAGTTCTTGGGTATTTGATTAAGAGACAGGAACCCCATAATTTCTAATAGACAGCTATGAATGTGCTGTTACTGAGGTTCAAAGACATTCTGTGCTACATTCCAGGGTGAGAGAGAAAGTAGAGTGTTTTGGTGGGAGTTGTGCTATTGGTGGTTGTTGTAGATAGGTGGGATGTCAGACCCCTCAATAGTTTTCTTTTTTTTCCTTTGTAGAAACTACCTAGCTTTATGAAGATATTCTTAAGAATTTTTGGATTCTAAAAAGGAGTTTCTCAAATACTTGGGCTTTCAAAAGGTCAACAAAGAGGAGCTCCATGGGACTCTGTTCCTGACACATCCTGGGTTATCAACTTTAGACTAAAAGAATTCCCAACTTTGAGGTTCATGAAAAGAAATGGGAAGTGACTTTGGTTAAGCCTTCTTGGGGACATGAACTATTTCTAGGACCTCTGTCAGGAAAAGAATTTTTGAGCAAGGATATAGGGCATGGTATTAAAAATGCTCAAGATAGAGAAAGAATCTGTTTGATTTTTAAAACTTCATGCAGTTTGGGCATAGTTTTATTTTTACTGGACTACATTAGTTGGTATGGACTACTTACATTGTCAGTCTCTGATAGTTTAATGATAACTAAGACTTGGTTTTAATTTTTCTGCTATAGGTGCAGGTTATCATTCTGAATCCAAGGCCAAGGAATATAAACATGTATGCAGAAGAGCTTGTCAGAAGGTATGAACAGAATGTGTGTGATTTAAGTGTTTCAGTTTTGGACACAAAGCAGCGTTACTTTTAAATTCATAATTTTAAGATTTTATTTATGGGACATTCTTTGTTTGGGTTCGAAAATGTTATTTTGCTTATATTTGTGGGTTTCATTTTGCTTTGCTCTATGTTTTTAATTTTCTGAGTGATGCTGAGCTCTTCCTTCTGCTTCCCTAGATTGAAGTTTATATTTTTGGAACTGTGGGTGCATGATCATAATCATATCTTTTATAATCTTTGCAGAGGCACTGACCTCTGATAGAAGGAGTAGAAAAAACTGCTTAAAAGCAGCCAATGTCTTTTCATGAAGGGAAGAAAAAAAAATAATAAAATTAAAATGGGTGTTTTTCTTACCTTTTCTTGACTTTATCCTTCTGCTTTTTGTCATGTAGTTTGTATCATACCAAAGTTATTGTTATTCCTGGGTTTTGATTTGCCCTTTTACTCAGTTGTGGCCCGCCCCGCCCCTTGGTTGTTGAGGTTTTCCTAAATTGTTAAATACTTAATGTTGGGGCAGGAATGGTCTCAGAAGAAATATTGTTTATTTTCATCCTATATACTTTTTTAAATTTTAATTTATCATTTTTACATTTAGTTACATGTGTATACATTATTTGGGCCACCCCCCTCCCACTATACAGCTTATACTATATACTCTTATAGGCAAATGTTTCATTACTTTTTATGCAAATAGAATGTCAATTGGATACTGATCAAATTAATATAGGTCTCTTTTAGCTCTTTTCCTTTACATCTACATACCATTTAAAAGAAAAATTGTACTTTGTTACAGATCCAAAATTTTTCTCATGAATGGAATGCCATAAATGAATAAGAACATTTTGTTACAGGGATTTTATTTTTATTTTCTTTTTCTGGGGGCGGGGTGACACTGGGGTTTGAACTCAAGGATTACAACTTGAGCCACTCCACCAGTCCTTTTTTGTGATGGGTTTTTATCAAGATAGGATCTTGAGAACTGTTTGCCCAGGCTGGCTTTGAACCTCAATCCTCCTCTTCTCTGCCTCCTGAGTAGCCAAGATTGCTATAGACATGAGCCACTGGTGCTTGGCTTATTATTATTTTCTAATGATAATAAAGCTAAATGTCTGCTCAGCTGTTTTATATTTTTTCCTTTTCTTTTTTTTTTGAAGGTACTAGGGTTCGAACTCAGGATCTCACACTTGCTGGGCAGGTGCTCTACTGAGGCAGAGGGAGTTTGGGACTTTTAGAAACCATACATCTTGATTTAGAGAACCTCACTCCTCCCTTGCTACCCCCCCACCCTTGTCCCCTCTTGAGCCCAGAGTGCTCTAGTTCAACTGGAAATTCTTTGTTAAATTAGTGTAGAAAATTCCTCCCACTTAGATTGGATTCAGGAGATTTGTGAATTAGCAGAGGTGCATGCATGAGCCCTCCCAGATGGGGAGTGATGCAAGTTTTCTCTTAACTTCCAAGTTAAGGATGATATAAAAATGACCTAAAATAAAATCTGTCCCCTTTATTTTCCTTTATACAGTGCCTCCATTCCACTTTGCAGGGACCCCACCTGTAATCCCTTTCCCCCTTTCCCGTAATAAAACTGTATTCCCTCACTTCCCTCACCACGGGTTCTGCTTGGATTCTTCCTCATCAGAGTGCAAGGGCCAAGTCTTCTGATTAGAATCATCAGCAACTTCAATACTGTCACTTGAGCCACTCCACCAGCCCTTTCTTAATTTTTCAAGTGTGAAATCTTTTCATTGTCTGAAAAGAAATACTTTACATTTATACAGCTATAATCCTAGAAATTTAATACATTTGGACTGTATAATCCAATTCACTGTAATGAATTAGCTTCTTCAAAGTTTAATGAGAGAAAATAAAATAAAATAGAAAGTTGAATGACAGGACTGGGGGCATGACCAAGTAGTAGAGCCATTGTCTAGAAAACTTGAGGTCCTGACTTCAAACCCTAGTACCGCCAAAAAAGTCTATTGAGAAATATTTAGTTTTGGGGATTTCTCATTGTTAATTAAATTGGAGTTTTAATAGTTCATTTGGAAACCAGTTTCCCTTCACTCTCTTTCTTTTATTAATTTATGCCCTAGAAAGCAAGGTGATTTTCGTAGACCTTTGTTCTCTGTAGTTTATATTGTAATATAAAGAATATATGCTTCTACTTGAGGATTCTGACCTGCCTCTGTGACCTAGAGACTGGCTTTTTAAAAATATTTTTATTGTTGTGATGGGTGGGGGTACATCGTGGCATTTATACAGGTTTTTACAATGTATCAAATATAAAGGAGTTCACCTTCTCAACCATTCTACTTCAACTCTCCCTCCCTTGATTCTTGGAGTAGTTTTAACAGGCAGGTATTATTTTTGCATTTACCTACATGAACAGGTTTTATTGTACCGTATTCTCCCACCTACTCCCTTTCCCAAACACCTACCCCCTCCCATGGATGCCAGCCCTCCCCCCTGGGCAGGACTTGTTCTGCCCTCCTGTTCTCTGATTTTGTAAGAGAAAAAAAGGGAAAAGATAAAATGAAAAACATGACATTTTAGCTAGCTACACGGGGAGTTTCCTTGTGATATTTCCATGTTTGTATGTATTATAACCTCAATTGGTTTATCTCCTCTAATTTTCTTCATTTCTACCTTAGTCCCTTTCTTATGTTAGTTTCAGTCAGTTTAAGATTTCTATATTTGCCAGTGCAAGTGGCTCACACCTGTAATCCTAGCTACTCAAGAGGCAAAGATCAGGAGGATCGCAGTTTGAAGCCAGCCCTGGCTAATAGTTCGAGACCCTTCCCTTCACAAAACAACAACAACAAAACAGGGCTAGTGGAGTGGCTCAAGTTGAAGGTCCTTAGTTCAAGCCCCAGTACCACAAAAAAAAAAAAAGATTTCTATATTTATTCTTGTATAGTGAATATATCAACCCTATTCAAGTTCCTAGTTTTCGTAACTCTCTTGTGCATGACTGCCCCTTAGCACGACCAGTGTTTCATAATACTGGTACATTTGTATTAGATCTGTTCTACAAATGAGAGAGAACAGGAGGCTTTTGGCCTTCTGAGCTTGTCTAACTTCACTTAAGATGTTCTCTAGTTCTATCCATTTACCTGCAAAATTTCATTCTTCTTTGTGGCTGAGTAAAATTCCATTGTATATAAATACTACATTTTCTTACTCTTAGGGATCTAGTCTGTTTCCATAGGTTAGCTTTGTGAATAGTGCTGTAATAAACATGGATGTACAGGTGCTTTTGTTGTAAACTGACTCACAACCTTTCAGGTATATCCTTAGGAGTGGTATTGCTGGATTGTATGACAGGTCTCTTTTTGGTTTTTTAGGGAGCCTCTATACTGTTTTCCATAGTGGTTATACTAACTTACATTCCCATCAGCAGTGTGTGAGGGTTCCTTTTTCCCTTGTATCCTTGCCAACATTTGTTGTTGTTTGTGTTCTTGGTGGTAGCTATTCAAATAGGAATAGAGTGGAATCTTAATGTGGTTTTGATTTGCATTCCTTTATGATCGGGGATGGTGGGCATTTTTTCAGGTGTTTTTTTAGCCATTCGGCCTTCTTTCTTTGAAAAGACTCTCTTCAGTTCATTTGCCCATTTCTTCATTAGGTCATTGATTTTTTTTGGAAGTTTAGTTTTTTGGGCTCCCTGTATATTTTGGTTATCAACCCCTTGTCAGATGTATAGCTGGCAAAGATTTTCTCCCAGTCTGTGAGTGGCCTCTTCAATTTAGTGACCATTTCTTTTGTTGTTCAGAAGATTTGGCTTTTTTTTTTTTAATAGGTGTGGGCAGGGAGAGTAGAAACAGTGTGAGGAGAAGTTATTAGCTTAGTTTGAGATTCAGTTCTCTGTATAAAATATGAATTGTCAAAATATTTTAACCACACTACATTAATATTTCTGTGGCTCTTTTGAATTGCCCTGTGATGAGCAAAGCTTTTTACCTTACACTAAATTCTTTGCATCTTACAGTTAGTGGCTAGATTTTATTCATTGCTTTAAATTGGATTATATTAAATGAGGGCTATATCATAAATTAACCTGCAGATAAACAGTTGTTTTAAATCTTAGTAGTATGTGTCTTGAAGTATGGAATGGAATTAGTGACCAAATTTTATTAACTCTAAACATCTACATTTTTAAAGCTTTTGGAAAGTTTATGGATATGTTTAAGAAGTTGTGTTTTTCCAATGAATAATTTCTCTCCTTGGTTTCACAGGCAATTGAAAAGCTACAGGCTGGTGCTCTTGCGACCGATGCAGTAACTGCAGCTCTGGTAGAACTTGAGGTATTTCTTTTCTGTTTATGTTTGATCTAAAGTATTTATGAGTTTATGTTCCTTGTTTTTAAATGTTATGAAACTGTGGAGTTAGTCAACCATAAACTATATAGCAAATGTTTTCCAACAATATTAACAAAGTTATGAAGAAAGGCTGTGATTGTTGCTTTCATTGGGGACTTTTTTGAATAATGTAAATTTGGTTTTTGTGAGATTCATGACTACATGACTGAATATTTAAATTTCCTCAGCATTTTCAGTAGGAAAATTCTTGAGATTGATTCCTTAAAAGTGATAAATGTTTTATTATTTAAAGAAACCACAACAAAACTTTCCAACTTTCTAGAAGTACCAAAGTAGGACAAGTTTCATCACTGCACAACAGATAGGTACCCTAAGGCTATACTGTGAAGTGCCCTTATTCCAGTGTGATTGTTAGGTTTGTTCCCAGTTTACAGTAGACATTGAGGAGTTGAGTGGGGAGTCATCTGGGTTTTCTATATAGTTTTTGTGTTACAGAGTGAGGATCTCTCAGTTCTCTTAATCTGGAACTTTGATGAGTTTGTTTAGGGGCTACAGAGGCCTTCAGAAGACACAAATTTGAAGAAGATAGATATGTGTCATGCAAATTAAGAGGTTTATTATAGACGAATACTTTCCTGGATAAGAAGACTACTTGGGTAAAGTAAGACATGAAGATAAAGTAGTGATGACTATGAGGGAGAAGGTGAGAGTTAAAGTAGACATTTCTAAATTGACTAGCTTTCATGTTAGGGCATTATTCAAATGCCTTTCCCTGTGAAAATTGATCAGGAGTTGACTAAAAGTACTTGCCATGTTTTCTGTATATTCCCCATTGCTTAATTGTGAAGCTGTGCTTTTGATCATTGCTTTGTATATTTTAGTCTCTCCTAGTAACCCCTTCAACTTCATGCTAATGTAGTCAAGGCAGATGAACATATATGGTGAGCATCAGTTCTATTGTAGTTTGGTCCCTGAGAGATCTGATATAGGGATTTGTGGTACCCTCCTATTATGACTGATGGATCTGTTACTTGTTCTACCAGATATTAGCCACATGTCCCTGAGTATATAACAACTTGTGCTTGACTCAATTTTCCCATTTCTGATGATAATAATCCCTACTTTATAGAGTTATAAAGATTGAGTTAATATATGCCGATTACTTAGTTTACCTTGTTGCACAAAGTAAGCATCCAATGACTATTATTATTTGAACTGCTTTGGAAATGAAAGGTAGGAGAATATTTATGTTCACTATTAGTGACAGGTTTTAGAATGTCATAAGTTAATTATATGTTGTGGATAAAAGAAGTATATTGTGTTTTACTCAAAGCACATACAGAAGGAGGTTTTCATCTGGCTTAATGCACTTGTTAGTTGAAAATTACTCTCCTTTGTGACAAAGGTGATACCCTGAGTTACCAGTATATAGAGTCAGTATGGGTCTAAGGAAAGAAGGCTAATGAGTGGGTAGATCATGTGCCCTAATGGCTACTATCAATACAAAAATTGAGTAAAATTAGTTTTAAAAAAATCTTAAGCATAATTTTTTCAAGTCATACTTATGTGTAGAATATTTGATTCAATTTCCACCTACTTTTGTTTCTTTTTTTTTTTTTTTGGTGGTACTGGTGTTTGAACTCAGGGCTTCATGCTTGCTAGGCAGGCTACCACTTGAGCCACTGTACCAGGTCCCTCTACTTTTATTTATTTATTTTAAAAATTAGGATATGTTCATTATACAGGGGGAAATCATTGTGACAATTCCAAATAGGCTTATATTGTACTTATATTGGTTAGATCATCCCACCATCTCTCCCCCTCAACTCCCTAGTTCTGTCTTTTGTTATTAATATTTAAGTCCATGTTCAAAGGGGTTTCTCAGTATATCCCTGCAGTTAGTACATTCTACTTTGGTCTGTTGAACCCCTTCCATTGCTCTCCCTTACCCTTCACCTCCAATTCCCAATTTTTCAACTGCTTTTAATACATATTCTTATACCCTCTACCTTCACAAATATTATTTGATGTTGTTGATGCTCTATCATTCTCTTTTCCTTTCCCTCCTTTCCCCAAGTTCCGTAGAGTAGTTCCACTATTACAAACATGTTCTACATATGAGTTTGTACATGATCATGCTTGTTTTTGTGTATATGTTTATCTTTTGGATGTCTTGCATGTATGGGAGAAAACACGCGGTCTTGGTCTTTCTGAGCCTTGTTTGCTTCACTTAATGTGATGTCCTCCAGTTGCATCCATTTACCTTCAAACCGAGTAAAACTCCGTTGTGTGTATATATACCCCATTTTCTTGAATCCTTCATCAGTTGCAGGATATCTGGGTTGTTTCAGTAGCTTGGCTATTGTGAATATTGCTGCGATGAACATTGGTGTACAAATGTCTCTATTGTATCCTGACTTATGTTCCTTAGTAGATGCCCAGGAATGGTGTCACTGGATCATATGGCAATTCAGTCTTCAGCTTTTTGAGGAATTTCCATACTGCTTTCCAGAATGGTTGTACTACTTTGCATTCCTACCAACAGTGTATTAGGGTTCCTGTTTTGCCACATACTCACCAACATTTATTGTTGTTATTGTCCTTGAATATGGCTACTATAACTGGGGTGAGATGAAATCTTAGCGTAGCTTTGATTTTTATCTCTTTTGTAGTCAGGGAAGTTGAACACTTCTTCATGTATTTTCTGGCCATTTTTAACTCTTCCTTTGAGAATTCTCTGTTTAATTCATGTGCCCATTTCTTCATTGGGATGTTGATTCTTTGGGGGTTGAGTATTTTGAGTTCCCTGTAGATTCTGGATATTAGTTCCTTATCAGATGAATAGCTAGCAAAGATTTTCTCCTTTTCTGTGGGCAGTCTCTTGAGTCTAATGACTGTATTTTTTTTTGCTGTGCAGAAGCCTTTTAGTTTGATGCAGTCCCATTTGTTCATTCTTTCTCTTAGATGTTGAGCCTATTGAGTTCTGCTTATGAAGTCATTCCCTATGCCTATCTGTTTCAGTGTATTTCCCATTCTTTCCTGTAGTTGTTTCAAAGTTTCAGGAATTATATTAAGGTCTTTGATCCACTTTGAGTTGATTTTGCATCCTTGCATTCCTGGAATGAAACCAGCTTTTTTTTTTTCTTTTATTCATATGTGCATACAATGTTTGGGTCATTTCTCCCCCCTTCCCCCACCCCCTCCCTTACCTACCTCGCCCTCTTCCTCTCCCACATGAAATCAGCTTTATCATGGTGTATGATCTTTTTGATGTATTGTTGAATTCTGATTGTCAGTATTTTGTTATGTCTATATTCATTAAAGATAGTGGTCTATAATTTTCTTTTTTGGTTGCATCTGTATTGGGTTTTGGAATGAGTGTAATGTTAGCTTCATAGAATGAGTGTGGTTGTGTTCCTTCTCTTTCTATTTTGTGGAAAGGTTTGAGGAGTATTAAAATTCTTTAAAAGTTTGGTAAAATTTGTCTGTGAGTCCCATCAGGTCTTGGGCTATTCTTTGTAGGGAGGCTCTTTAATACTGCTTTAACCTCATTGCTTGCTATATGTCTATTTAGGTGGTTAATATCTTCTTGGTTCAATTCTGGTTGGTTGTATGCATCTAGAAATTTATCCATTTCATCCAGATTTTCCAGTTTACTTGAATATAAGTTTTGAAAGTATTCTGTAATGATCCTCTGCGATTAACATTAGTAATTTGTGGGTTATGTTCCCTTTTTCATCTTTGATTTTATTAATTTGGGTCTTTACTCTGTTTTGTCATTTTGGCTAAGGGTTTGTTGATCTTGTTAATCTTTTCAAACAACCAACTTTTTGTTTTTTAACTTTTTTTTTTGGTAGTACTGGAATTTGAACTCAGGGCCTCATGCTGCTAGGCAGGCACTCTACCACTTGAGCCACTCCCAGCCCCAACTTTTGTTTTATTGATTCTTTGTGTGACTACAAAAAAAAAGACTTTTTTGGTCTTGATCTCATTGATCTTGGCACTGTTCTTTACTATTTCTCTATCTGTTAGTGTTGGGTTTGGTTTATTCTTGTTTTTCTAGAAGCTTATGGTGCATCATTATATTGTTTATTTGAGAAGTTCCTGTTTTGTTTTTTAATGTAGGCACTTATAGCTATAAACTTTTCCCTTATCATGGCCTTTGCTATGTCCCATAGATTCTGATAGGTTGTATATTCATTTTCATTAGATTCTAGGAACTTTTTGATTTCTTCCCTTATTTCTTTGGTCACCCACTGGTCGTTGAGCAGTGTGTTCCATGTGTTTGAATATTTTCTCTGATTTCTTTTGTTGTTGAGGTTTAGTTTTATTCCATTGTGAACTGAAATGATACAGGGAGGTTATCTCACTTTTCTTAAATTTGTTGAGACTTGCTTTGTGTCCTAAAATATGACCTATTTTGAAGAAAGTTCCATGAGCTGCAGTAAAGAATGTGTATTGCATGGTTGTTGACTGAAATGCTTTGTAGATGTCTATTATGCCCATAATAATATTTCTGAAGTTTCTGTGTTGATTGTTTTGTCTGAATGATATATCTATTGGTGTCAGTGGGGTATTCAAGTCTCCCACTATCATCATGTTAGGGTCTATCTGTGCTCTTAGGTCCATTAGAGTTTTTTTTTTTTTTTAATGTAGTTGGGTGCCCTGTGTTTGGTGAATATATGTTTAGAATTGATATTTCCTTTTGATGTGTTGTTCCTTTAGTTAATATGAAGTGACCTCCTTTGTCCCCTTTGACTGATTTTAGTCAGATATGAGTATAGCTACTCTTGCCTGTTCTTGGGGTCCATAGGGCTTAGAAAAGCTTTTTCCACCCTTTGACTCTTCTCTTACTTTTAAATGATTACTTACCAATAGTTAAAAAAGTACATTTTGGAATAGTGAGTTACTCATGAGTAAGTAGAATTCATAGTTTTGAAACATGACCTATGTTTTTTGAGAGTATGGATAAAAATTTTTTTAAA